GAGAGTCCTGGGTTATTTGCCACTTGTGGCATTATGAAATATTACCTATCAATTCTGTCACTCAATTTTCTCAATTATAAATGAAATCTTGTGTATAGAACATTGAACATAGGACCTAATGTGCAGAGTTGTTGAAGTGATAATAAATTTTTAGCTATCAGTACTATTTATTATGTATTTCCAATGTTTGCTTTTGTTTAGTTGAGGAGGTATTGAAAATCTTGTGTAGTGGTCCTTGTGTGGCCTGGAAAACATGATTTAAAGTTTTATCCTTTGTCCTTCCCACGCAGTCATGTGAGAATTAGTTTATTAATGACATACTAATAGATATAATAAAATTGGCCAAAACTATGCTCTTGGTACTAATTTGCAACTGGACATTAGTGAAATGACATCGTAGGTCCTTGACACACAGGTTCACACTCCACTTAAACAAGTTAGAGTCAGTTATGAGGATCAATGGGAGAAACTCTCAGATATTCCAACATGTGAGTTGTAAGTAGAGAAGAAGAATCCAGGGAAAAGTATAGAGGAAGGAATGAAAGCAAGAGCCATAATTTCCACAATCAAGGTAGAAGAAATGAAAAAAGGACTCATTAATTCTGGGTGTTCTAAGAACTCAAGTAAGTAGAAAGAAAGAGTCTCTGTGTTTGACAGCAAGTAATCCATGAGTGGCCTTAAGGAAAGAAGAATATAGTGAGTTCAGAAATGAAGAGGTAGAGACAGATATAGTGGCTTTTTTCTTTAAAGCTTGCTTTAGAGATGCTATGGTGAGAGGATCATATAATCCAGTTCTGCTCAGGCTATATAAGCAGAGACTACTTTAAAAAACAAAACTACAAACAAAAAGAAATAAAGAAACAAAAAATGATCATATAAAACCAATTAGCATGGTAAATCCTTTGCCTAATTGGCTTCAACTAGAAGAAGAAAAGCAGCAGAAGTGTCTGAAGGGAAATGGCTACAAAGACCCATGAAAAGTAATAAGCATCAGAACAATAGGAATGAATGCTGATAGATTCTTCTGAGACAGAAAGAAGCTAGTTCTTAAATAAGATAGAAGGATAAACTAAGGAAGTAGAGGTCACTGTTTTTTATATTCTTTATAAAAAATGAAGTAGTTAGTTAGGCATTTTAGAGTCTTGACTAATATGAATGAACTTGAAATAGTCATTTTGGCAAATGAAAAGAAACATGATTCAGGATGAGAAAGAACACTAATTAACAAACCTCAGACTCAGTTGAAGTTTGAAAAATCACCCAGAAGACCCTCGTCATTACATGAGACAGCTATGGCCTAAGTTATTTCTGAATATTGCACATGGTGATTAACAGACCTAAGAAACTGATTGTGCAATTAAGGGTGATGCTAGTCATACTAGAATCCAAAGAGTTAGCTCTATAGCTCTCATCATACTCTGATTCATGAACTTTTGCTTTCATTTTCACTTATCAGTTTCTACAGATTGGAAAAGCCTTAGTCTAACTGAGTAGACAGCATTTTCTATTATAATAAATCACTTATCCTTGAATTCTATGCTATCCTGGCTTCTTTGAGAACTCACTAAGGCCAGTATTCCTAAGTGCTCTGTAAAATATCTGAAGCCTGGCAGTAGAGAGCCCCATATCTCTCTCTGTGATCCAAAAGGAACCCTTCTGCAGCCAAAGATCTGCTTAAAGGAGGCTAGGTTTGTCTGTCCTCCAGTTAGGTACGTCATGCATGCTCTAGCAACATTTCAACCAGGATTATACTCTTTGGTATCATGAAGTAACTTCTGCCCAAGATAAAAGGAGGATTTGGGGGAGCCCCAAGAAGTAAAGTGACCCAACTCAGTTTTCACTGCCATTAGAACGGAATAGATGCTATATAGAGGAAAGAGTTGAGAGCCTTACTCTAGCCTAGTGCCACACTGTATCTCACATACTTGGAGCTAGTGCTGGGGAAAAGCTCATTTATCTGTTGGAATCTAAAATGCAGGGGCAATTCTTTATATTAGGGTATTCTTGAAAATTCCTTCTGAAAACATTTGAATGGAGAGCTAGAGGAAGTGATGGATGAAGTCATAATAATGGCTGGGAATAGAACCATGGTGATGGCTGGTGGGAGAAATTTCTAAGCTGTAAAAGCACAAGTCCAAATACCAGTCTTTAACATGTCAGATTTTAGGAGAAGTAAGCCAAAGACATTGAAATGGTTGACCATAGTAAGGAAGGAGATTCGCAGGAGATGAGATCAAATACATAAGACAGGTTGGTGGCAGTCAGATGGAGTAGAATATTTTATAAGCTATCGAAAATCATAATTAATACATTTGGTTTTTACTATTAACAAGACAATCTATAGCATGGCTTAAAAATATTTAGATTTATTAATATTTTAAAGGGTTACTATGGTTACTAAGCTGATAATTGACTCGGGTGAGGGAATTACAAAAACAAGGAGAAAACATGGCTGGCTACCATAGCAGTTGAAGTGAAAATGCTAAATTGTGGAATTTAGAACGTATTTTAGAGGCAGAAAGTGTTAGTGAATTATATGTGACATTTACAAAAGTAGACACAGGGATTATTCCATTATTTTTGGTCCCATAGGTTAAATATAGGTCCCATAGTATTATTAATCTAATCAATTATAATGTGTGAAAGAATCCCTACCGATTTCTCAATGAAGATCAACAAATTATTCTATTATTGGCTAAGTTACAGACAGAGGCAGAGTTGCTTAGAGACATTTTCCAAGTAATACAAGAATAACTTGTGCACTCTGAAGTTTTGCCGCAACTTTTCTTTCAAGTGCCTTTCAGACATGATCATGAAGTACTAGGATTCACTTTGACTGCAAAATGTAATTGTTAAGGGCAAAACAACACAATTTACAAGATTACAGATTGCTGTAGTTTCCATCTGAAATGTCTAGCAAGTATCTATTTGTCTATGGCTTGGACAATGTCCCATTGTACTTGTAGAAAATGCTAAAGCTTTTAAGAAGTGAGGGCTAGTGGGAGATATTTTGGTAAATAGGGGTATGTCTTTGAAGAAGAAAGTGAGACCCAGATTATTTGATAAGTCTCTCTTGTGAATTTTGGCCATCATGTAAACAGTTTTGTGCCACTTGGATAAGCTAGGTTGTCACAGAGCAAAAAATAACAAGGACAGCCAACCATGGGCTTAAATCTCCAAAACTATGAGCCCAAACAAGCTTGTTTTCTTCAAAAACTAATTGTTATTGTTATGGAGTGCTGGCTAATGCAAACATGAGTTGTTAATGTTGCTTCTGTCCACTGTCTAGACCTTTGCTATTTAATGTATTGTCTATAACTCAGAAGCAACTGCATCAAATGGGAATGTCGATAGAAAACCAGTCTCGGCCTCATTGCAGTGCTTCTAAGGCAGAATCTATGTGTTGTCAGAAAGCATATGTAACTGCATGTGCACACAAGCATGTGGGAAGACTCATCGTAGAATTTCAAGGCCTTCAAGAACAAGAATCTGTTCAAGTTTTAAATGCCAAAAGCAAGACTGAGAAAGATAATATGATTTTACAGATGAAGTTGGCTTGGGCAAGGGTACTAATGCCAAGATCAACATTCCTTTTATTAAAATAAGGTTTCAAAACTCAACTAGTTCAGGCACTATCATTTGAAGAAGATGGAGAAAATCAGAGGGCCCCTCTTTTAGAAAATGTCGCCCTTTTTGGAAGAAAAGGCAGATTATTCCTCTATTGGTCCCTCCTCTTTATTAGAGACAAAATTAGCTATGTAGGGTAATAATATTCACTTTAATTTCAGAGATGATGTCAGATTGCCCCAAAAGTGTATGTATTTATTTTTTATGTCCAGTATACACTTGTATGCAACTATGTTCTAGTCATTATTCTAATCCAATTCTGATTATTTCCTCCAAATGATTTTCAGCTTCTGATACTTGATTATGAATTCCTGTTTATGGCTCTACCGTATCAATGGATGGATCATGCATAGAGACTCCCTGAGCAAACACATTAGAGTACAGAACAGACACCCTGCCCAATAGCCGCCCCTCAGCCCCCAACCTGCATACCGCTCTCACAATAGGCGAAATCCTGAGAGATACTATGTATATGATATGAGTGTGTGTGTGTGTACATGTGTGTGTACCGTATATGTATGTGTAGTGAGACCCAGAGACCCATCAGAAGTAACAGGATGTCTTAAAATCAGAGTGACATGTTAGTATCCAGTTCTTCTTCTTCTTCTTCTTCTTCTTCTTCTTCTTCTTCTTCTTCTTCTTCTTCTTCTTCTCCTTCTTCTTCTTCTTCTTCTCCTTCTCCTCCTCCTCCTCCTCCTCCTCCTCCTCCTCCTCCTCCTCCTCCTCCTCCTCCTCCTCCTCCTCCTCCTCCTCCTCCTCCTCCTCCTCCTCCTCCTCCTCCTCCTCCTCCTCCTCCTTCTCCTTCTCCTTCTTCTTTTTTGTGGTCTCCTCCTCCTCCTCCTCCTCCTCCTCCTCCTCCTCCTCCTCCTCCTCCTCCTCCTCCTCCTTCTCCTTCTCCTTCTTCTTTTTTGTGGTCTTTCACCAGCTTCAGGTTTCCTGGTAAAAATCTTAATCTTTTGGAGTACTAATATAAAACTGCAAAGCCAGAGCTGGGAAGTGCCTTTTCCTTGTGTCTGAGAATCCTAACTGTCCCAACATTTGGTTTTCTCTGGAACTCCAAGCCTGCTAAGCCATGCACAGAACTTTGAAAAACTGAGCTGCATTTAGCTGCCTCCTCCCTTCCTGCCCACAGATTCAGTTAGATCCAACTCTAGGCCCTTCCCCCCTCATGCCCCAGCTTCAGTTCCTGGAGCTTTAAAAACTCTTGCCATACTTGTGGCTTGGCCATTGTTTACCAGCCAGACTCGCAGCGGCCTTTCAGGGGCGGGGTTTATTTGCATAACCACTCCCAGACACATCAAATAGTCCAATAGTTGTCCCGCAGGCCTCACAGAGGAGAGGAGGGGGTATAGGCATAATATGAAAGAGAGGATGGATTTGATCTGTTGTTGCCACACGTGAAAGTGAAATGAATCCAGCAGAACACTGGTTGCAACGGATTTCGCCTATTGTGAGAGCGGTATGCAGGTTGGTGGCTGAGGGGAGGCTATTGGGCAGGGTGTCTGTTCTGTACTCTAATGTGTTTGCTCAGGGAGTCTCTATGTATGATCCATCCTTTGATCTTTACAGGTTAAGTGTGGAAACACTCTTTCATTTGGTAGCTAACTAGGGACGGAAATAGAGGACCATATCAGATGTCCCTGTAAGGGTGCTACAAAGTCAGCCTGACTCGGGGAAAAGTATTCTCTAATCAGTCATTTCATCGTTTGAGCCCCGACAGCACTCTCTGAGATGTCAGAAACTTAGACTGTTATTCCTACAGCCTTGACTAGTCAGTTCCTGCCTGTGCAGGTTCGAACTGAAGCCAGATGGCCGCTGGGAATATGCCCAGACTTGTCCAACAACCTTGTGCATCTGGGATCCAGAGATGAGGAAGAGAGAGGAGGAGGGAATGGATTGGATATTCAGAGCATCCTGCAGAAAGCTGAACTACTTAGCCCACCCACGTGGTGCTTGGGCAAGTCCGGGCCTGTGTAAAGAGCAATTTGGCAATGTGTGTGGGGGCTTTCAATCCAGCCTTGTCACCAGTGACTGAGTTTCATTTGATCACTTGCTGCTGGAAGCCGAGCCCAGGACAGTGATATTTTGATCCGGCCTCACCCCAAACACTGGCCAAGACCCAGACAGCTGCAAGAACTGGCGGGGTGCAGGGAGAAGAGACCTGCCAGAGACTAGGCTGGGAAAACAGGCTGGAGGATCTCATTTTGACAGGTTTTGGCGGCAATGGCCAATATCATGTAGGGCAATGGGAGGTAGTAAATTGCGGAACTATTTAGGTACCTCTCCTGTCCCCTTCACATTTAATAAACATAAAATGCATAGTGAATAATATCCCTCTATCACCAAGTTTGAAGCACTAAGCTGTCTACGATAGAGAGGCTGCATCCCTTAGGACTTAACAGACTCATCCTGAGTGGAGGAACACAAATAATACTGTACAAGGCGAATTTTAAAAGTTCAGTGAAAATTCTCTCAAGTAGTCAAGTAAGGACCACATCAACTAAAGCCAGAGAAAAGCAGAAAAGCTGTTCTCTCTCTCTCTCTCTCTCTCTCTCTCTCTCCTCTCTCTCTCTCTCTCTCTCTCTCTCTCTCTCTCTCTAACTTCTTCTTCTTTTTTTTAGTGTTTTGGGACTTGTTCTGGGTATCTTTAGGACCGGATAGTGTCCCAGGTAGATAAGGCTGGACTAAATGAAACTCTATGTAGCAAGGTGGCTCTTTAGTTCCTGATCCTCCTGCTGCCAACTCCTAAATGCTATAAGCACAGGTATGTGTTCATTAGGCCCAGCTGATTGATTTTCAGTCTTAACACCTTTGGATGCTAGAGAATAAAACTATTTGTATTCAAATCTCATTTCACCAAATAGCAACTGTGTGCCTTTGATCGAAAGGCATACAAGGATCCTGAGATTCATTTTGCTCCAGGTAAAGGTTGAATTAACAGCACCAACATCATTGAGTTATTGTGATGAACTGATTTAATCCATGTAAAATGCTTGTACATGCTTAGCATGGTTCAAAATAAGCACTCAATAAATGTTAACCCTTATTATTGAAGGTAGAGTATGTACCACAGATAAGGTTTCAACAGGTGGAAAAAGGAGAGGAGGCATTTGAAGCAGAGAAAACATGAACAACTGCTTGATGGCAAAGAACTCAGAACATGTGAAAGGAACAATAGTCAAGTTGGATGCTTTAGTACAATTGGGAGAGAGTACCAGTCAGATTGGTGGGAAACTACCCGAGACTTTGGATACCTGAGTTTCTGTTTATTTGGCAGAGCATGGTACCGCCACCGTGAGTTTCTGAACTGAAGAAAGATCAGATGTGCACTTTAGGAAGAATAGTTAGGTAAATGTGAATCAGCTGGGCACGAAAAAGAGCACACAGAAAAGTGAACAAACGGAAACTGAGGTGGTGGCTGAGTGAACAGAAGGAAGGCAATGTATGTATCAAGTAACACAAACTTGGAAATCCCTTCAGAGATTTGAAATCATGAATTACATGAGATTTGAAAAGGGAAGGATGGAGTTTATCTTTTGGGGTTAACTTACACTTTGAACCAGTACACATTTTCCTCCTACCTTTCTAGAGAGTACAATTTAGAACCTGTTGTTTGGAATCCTAAATGTGTTCATTGTATATTCAATATTTCCATGATGCGTCAGTATTAACTGGTTTCATGCAGTAAAGAGATGTTTCTTCCATCCACGATAGAATCATGAGGAAACCCAGTGAGAAAATCCAAACTTCCCTGTGTTTCTGTTTTCCTGAAAAATGAGAAATAGGTCCCACTGGTTGGAAGGATTAAAAATGATAATCTTCTAAAGGATCTATCCCAATGCTTGAAGAATAGTAGGCTTTTGTGAGTCATATGTTTCTTTTCTAACATTTGACTTCACCTTTAAACAGCCATCTCATCTCTGACAGCACTTCCAGAGGAAAAGTCTTCGCTGTTCTCTAAAAGAAGCCATTATCTGGCTGTGGGGAAATCCTTGACAGCTGAAAGTTTTTCCCTCTGGTTTCAGCCACATTTTCTTATGCCTCTGTTGTGTATTCAGTTGTTCAAGTGGTGCTTTCTGGGGCTACTTACCACACCCTTTTTTTTTCTCTTCTGAAAGGTAGGAGCTCTGAAGACCAAAGACCAAATTTCCCTCCATCTTCTATCCCCTGGGAAATCAGCTGGGTTTCTTTCATTTCTCGTGTGATAGTATTAATTAAAATATTTGTCTGCGGTTTTGAATTATACAAAATGGAGGGGCAGCACCTTAAGAGAGATGTCAAGAACTGCAAGAGAAACATAATGGAAGAATGTGACAAATTATTCCTTTCAGTTCTTTCATTGCATCTTTTCTTCACTATAATATGCTTAGAAAGAACTGAGACTTGCTGGGGATCATCTGGTCTTTGTGTCTGAGCCATAACTGCCAGCCAGTTTTCTTCTAATTCACCTGTTTTTCTTCTTCTTTTTTACAGCTGCTTGCATATAAGATGTTGGCTAGATAGATTAATTCTGGCACTAGAGAGGAAGAGAGGAAAATAGCTATTCAACTGCCTTGTGTCAGCTACATTGTCTTTGAAATTTTTCAGGAAGAGGAACCAGGGGCATAGAAACCTAAGACAGGCCACATAGCCTTCCTTTCGTTAGATGTCTTCTTGATCTGTTCCGCTTGAATGCCTTATGACGGGAGTAAGGCACACGTCATTATTGAGAGATGAAGCTTTTGAAGCAGCAGCTATTTTTTCTCTGTTTCCTTTAGAGGATTGGCTCCACCCATATATTCTCCCCTAAGGTGCTTAATGGGAAGAGTACTGGTCAGTTTTTATCATCAGTTTATATATGAGATGGACCATTATTATTAGAGACGTATGAGAGATGTTAGGATGGCTGTAGTCTGTCTTAGATTAGCATTAACTATATATTTTTCAGTGTTTCTCTAGACATGCTTTCTTGCAAATGATTGGCCTTCTTCATTCTGGTTTGGTGGTTTTCTCTTTTGTGACAAAGCCTATCAGAATTTCTAGTGTGTAAAACAATTACCAGCTGAGATTTTAGTGACCGATTATCCATTTTGAAAGATTTACAGTTATTCTATATGTATCCCTAAGAACAACCTAGATGCCCTCAACTGAAGAATGGATAAAGAAAGTGTGGTACATACACAAAATGCAGTATTACTCAGCTGTAAAAACAGTGCCGTCATGAAATTTTCAGGCAAATGGATGGAACTAAGAAAAAAAAAATCATTCTGAGTGAGCTAACCTAGATCAAGAAAGAGAAACACAGTATGTACTCACTCATAAGTGGATATTAGATATAAAACAAAGGATAAAAAGGATAACTAGACCACAATCCACAGCTCCAGAGAAGCTAGGTTACAAGCAGGATCCTAAGAGGGACATATGAATCACCCTGGGAAGGGGAAATAGATGAGATCTCCTGAGTAAACGGGGGGGGGGGGGGTGAGAGGTGGTAAGTGGGAGGTAATAGGGATGAGAACATGAGGGAACAGGATGGTCCAGTTGGGGGAGGGATGGGGTGGAAGTTCAAGGAAAGATATCTTCATAGAGGGAGCCATTATGGGGCTGCAGAGAAACCTGATGCTAGGAAAATTCCCAGGAAACCACAAGCAAGACCCCTAGCAATAGTGGAGAAGATGCCTAAACTGGCCTTCCCTTGTAATCAGATTGGTGACTACCTTACCTGCCATCATAGAAACTTCATCCAGATACTGATGGAAGCAGATGTAGAGATCCATATGTAAGCACCAGACCAAGCAACGGGAGTCCAGTTGAAGAGAGGGAGGAGGGATTATATGATGAAATGGAGAGGGTCAAGATCATGACAGGGAATCCCACAGAGACAGTTAATCTGAACTGGAGCTCAAGGACTCTAGACCTACAGCTGGAGATTCCACATGGGACTTAACCAGGGCCTCTGCATATGGACGACAGCTGTGTAACCTGGTCTGTTCATGGTACCCCCGGCAGCGGGGCCAAGTTCTATCCCTGGTGCATGAGCTGCCTTTTTGGAGCCCATTCCCTAAAGTGGAATACCTTGATCAGCCTTGATACAGGAGGAAGGGGCTTCGTCCTGCCTCTACTGAATGGGCCAGGCTTTGTTGACTCCCCATCTTATCCTTTCTGAGGAGTGGGTGAGAGTGGGTTGGGGGAGGAAGGGGAGAGGAAAGGAGGGAGGGGAAACTGTGCTTGGTATGTAAAAATGAATAAAATATAAAGAAATAGCAACCCATCTAAAAAGTAAAGTAGTTTCCATGTGATATTATGATGGAATCAAACAATAAGGTGTCATTATTTCCAGGAGGTTGTTAGTCACCATTGTGATTAAGCCAAAAAGAGTGGGCAGTACTCTTTCCCTTCCATGGGCCGCCTTTCCCTGACCCAGTATACCCTTTGGTATTTTTCTTGTTGAGAGATTACAAAGCCAATATTATGTTTTGAAGAAAAGAGAAGCTGGATCCTTGGTAACATGGTTAGTCGGCAGTCAGTCCTGAAGGTGGCCTGCCTCTTTGTTTATGGGAAATAGACAAGGCAGTGAGCCCTGGGTAGAGACTTACATTATAGTCTGAACAAACTATGTAAATTTGAGGAAAATTGTATTTTTCCCTTGTAGCTCCAGTTTTCTGACTGGGATCATAAAGGTTGAGGTTATCTTGATAGATTCCTGTGGCATTTCATGCCTACATAGTCCCAATTAGTTGTATCTTAAATTTTAATCAGTTGTCAAAATGTAGAAAAAAAATAAACCATAATGAAAACATATTGTCTTGTGAGTACTGAGCTGCCTGTTACTAAAGGAGTTCAAAGAAAGATGGATGACAGTTTTCTCTGATCAATAAAAACAGGAAGATAACATGACCTTTTGTGTGAGATTTTCAAAATCTAAAATGATTTCTGTAAATTATTTCACAAAAGCATAATTATATGTGAGGTAATAGGTTTATTTTACCACATATTTTTTATAATTCTAACCCTTTCAAGGCCTATGCTCTTTTCCTCTTTTTGAGCATTTTTTCACATAAATTTCTTCTTTAAATTTTTTTTAGTTAGCATCCAATACATTAAGTTTCATTGTGACATTTTTGTAAATGTAGATCAGTCTTTCTTATTTATCTTTGCCTTCAATTACCCTTCCCATTTCATGGGCGTGGCTTTTAAATGGAGGGTGGAACACCTTTGGCAACAGTATCTCCTTCTCTCTGAATGAGCCTCAACCTCTGGGCTGATTTTCCAAGTCTCATTGTGGAGGTTTTGCCTTGGGTTTTATTACATGTGCCTCCGGCTTTATCCCACAGTTTCTGTAGGATATTTCATTCCCTGGCCTTCTGAGGAAGAAATGTCATATTTGATTACTTTTGGGTAAAAAGGACTGAGGGATTCAGGGTGGTACAATTGGTCTAGATTGCTTAGTAATCTGAACAAAGCCAAAAGTAGTAAGGGAAACCAGAAATTAGAACAGACTTTCCGAGTCACACAGTTTCCAGCCATGTACATAAAGAAATCATATCATGATCTTGATTTCTTTCTGCGATACTCTGCCAAATTTCCTTGGGAAGCTAATGAATCTCCACTTCAAGCACTCTCTGGTAGGTAATTAATTATTTATTGTTCATAGCGAAATTTCATGCTGTCTTATGGTGGTCGATACACGAATCAGTGACTCACTTAGGCTTGAGTGACAGGGAAGCAAATCAGACTGAAATATTGACTCAACATTGCCATGACCTGTGGCTTGTCGCCAATGTCCTTTGCTCCTCTGTGCTGGGTGGGACAGTAACAATAGTCTTGCAGCTCTTCCCATGTGAAGCCCAGTCTGGAGTTTCCAGAGTGCTTTCACATACATTGTCTCATTCTTTCCCTTGAACATATTCCAGAGCAGTTTCTGGACTTGGCTTCTACTGGACATGACTATTTGAGGAGAAATCAAAAGGGTATGTTCCCTTTAAAATCAGCCTAGAATTGATTGACTTTAATTAATTTTATTAATTCTTTTGTTAATCATTTCTCTCTCATATATATGCATATATATGTATGTATGCATAGTTTGGGGGGTTGACCTTTTGTTCTGCTCAATGTATTGTCTTCGAAGTTGTATTTGTGTTCTTGAGAAGTTTATCTTTTTCTGAAGTAGCTATGTGTGCAGGCACACATTCTGAAACTTCACTCGTGTGATTACTGTTTGCCGTTGGATGAGTAGAAGTGGCCCCATTTACTGACTAAATTCTACTTCTACAGTGACACCTGCCTTGAAAACAAACTCTATACTTGGGCCCACCTCGGATGAGATATAACCTCTCGCTTTGTGCACTGGAATAAAGGACAAGGTAAACACGTGAGTCACTCTTTAATTGTTTACAGCTCCTTTTTATTTTCCCCGAAGCTGTTATCATGCACAGAAGAAATTCTTAAGCCACTAGGAAAATAGAAAAAGGAGCCAATTAAAAACTATAATAAACACCTTTGTCTCTTAATTATTTCTATGCCAGGCATATGATTTAGCAAATTAAAGCATAAAAAGATAATTTACTTTTAAAATACGGCTTCTAAGGCTCAAATCCAATTCATCAAGCTTTTGTGACAAGCACAATTACCTACCCACTAAGCTATTTTGCTAACTTGCAATTTACTTTTACACAAATCAATATAAAAATTGCACGTCTTAACCCCTTTGTCCATCCCTGTACCATATCTGGCACTAACTCTCACTCCTTAGTTATTAACGTTTTATTATGCATTAGTGTTCCCAGAATCAACTTTTCTCCTGGGTTTCCTTTGTGTGCTGGTGGCTGCTATTTCCTTTCTAGCTTTAAATATGTGTGTCACTTAACATTTTGTTTGTGGCATCCTTCTTTATCCATCTAAGTCTATCCCACTATTTACCTAGTATAATGATTCTTAACCACCAGATGTTTTGATTTAGCCATGGGTGTAGGCATTTCACAAAACTTCCCCAGTAACCTTTTTATGAGGATTATTTAAAGAAAAATCAATTTAATGTTCAGAAAAGTTTTTTTTTCTTTTCACTGAAAATATCTCAAAAAGGAAAAAGATCAGTAAGGTTATGCACTCCTATTTTAGTAGAACCCTGCTTGGGAAGCATGATACACTTATGGATTCTAAACTGCCTTTGAGTCTTAGCTTTCTTCCTTTTTTAATTTTTTTTACTTTATTTTATTATTATTAAAAATTTACACCTCTTCCCCACCTCCCATTTCTCTCGCCCATCCCCCCACTTCCCCTCTCCCTTCCTCTTCCAGTCCAAAGAACAGTCAGGGTTCCCTGCCCTGTGTGAAGTCCAAGGTCCTCCCCCCTCTATCCAGGTCTAGGAAGGTGAACATCCCTTTTTTAACTTTTTAAAGTAAATTTTTTCATCTATTTATCTTACACCCTTCCCTCCAAGCCCCTCCCCCACTTCCTTTTCCACTCCCCAAACCTCTCCTGCTTCATCTCAGTCCAGAAAAAGGCAGATCTCCCATGAGTATCAATAGAACATGGCATATCAAGTTGTAGTAAGACTAAGCACCTCCCCATGTATTACGCCTGGGAAAGGCGTCCCAGTATGAGGAATAAGGTCCCAAAAAGCAAGCAAAAGAGTCAGAGGCAGCCCCTGCTCCCATATACAGAATTTGGCTTTCTTTCTTGCCATGTAAATGAACTTTAGGTAATTTCTCTCTCATTTATTCTGTTTGGTAAAATCTGTCTTAGCTCTCCCCTATGGTTATTGTGAAGATCAATAGAAGTAAGGGGCTCTACAAACTATAAGGTTGTTACTATTATTCTGTAGAATCTCTTTTTACCATTTGGTCAAGTAATAAATACTTACATAGTGTCTACTGTGTGACAGGCACTGTTTTAAGTATATTGCATGGGGTAGTAAATATAATGGGTACAATGATATCATAGTTACTTCTCTTTAGAGGAACAATAGTATACATGTTAAGAAGAAACGCATAATGTCTAAGAAATTCATACATACAATGGAGAACAATGAAACAGGAGGAGAATAGGAGGATTAGGGGAATTCTGACTTTAAAATAGTGGCCAAAGAAACCCTATTAAGGGATGATATATTAATAAAGACCTAAAAATTTGAAAGATCCAGTAAAATGTGTATATTTAGGAGAAGATTCTTGGTTTGAGAAGGTATGAAAGCCTTTCACTGAAAATATCCCTGCTTAATTTGACGAATAGCAATGAGATCACTGGGGCTGAAGTGGATACAGTAAGGAGAATTGTAGCCCCCTTGGCTAAAGGTAGCAGAGGAAGTTTTAGGTAGCCAGATTCTATAAGATATCACCGGTCATTAAAAGGATTTCAGTATTTTTGCAAGTAAAAGGAAAAGCCGTTGAAAGAGTTGAGAATAATGTCATCTAACACGTTTTAAAGGATCTCTTCTATATTCTTCTCCTTTCTCCCTCAGTCTCCCCCAAAAAAGAAAAAAATGGGTACATTACCTCTGACTATGGAAGGATGGGAATTCTATTTTACTGATTGTGCTATATGTTCAAGCAATACCGAAAGTCAAAGCTAAAGGAACCCGTATAACTACCCCATTCTTTAGCATTGCTGTATCTGAGAATCAAGGGGTAAACTGTGTAAGTTCCAGAAGCTCAGTTCATACTTGGACGGATTATATCAGAACCTCAAGAGTAGTACCCAGATATCCATATACTTTGAAGCCTCAGAAATATAACTAAGAATGAGGACCGCTGTTCTGAAGTATTTAAAACTAATCAACCTTCTCATGATGACTGTTCAACTTGACTCAGCACTGAGTATCACTGTTACCTTTGGCAGAGCTGTCCCTGGGACCATTTACTCTAAATAAAATAAGAAATAAAAGAAAATGACAAATGGTGAGCAGGAAGAAGGTAAGATGCTTGATAATACAGAGATCTGACAAGAGGAAGCTCAGCTAGAAATGGATTTGGCCCAGACCAGAAAAGAGAACCATGAGAGGCATTGTCTAATCATTTACAACAACATCTGTCCTGCAGGCCAAACATCTGGAATTGATAAGGGCACTATCCAGACTAGAAGTTTGATTTCCAAGGAAAGAATGATTCTCAAGGCCAAGCTGTACCGCTGCTCTGATTTTTGACAGCCCCAAGCACACGGGTGGTGACTGGGCTTACATGAGAGGAATGGACAGGGAATGGGGCAGCTGCTATCTTCATCACTCTTCTTAAATCTCAGGACTTCTGCACTGCCCAGGCAAAACAAATAGCCTAAAGTCCTGAGTTCTTAATTTAGACTCGTCATCCTCCAAGTTCTAGCCATCCTAGATAGAGACCATGCTTCATGCGACAGGCATTTCTGCAAGTTGAGAAGACCAACAGCCACAAATGGTGGCCAGAGGCAGCTGCACACCCAGCCGTGTGACAACCTTACACCCAACAGAAACGTAGCCAGCATCATTTATTCAGGGCACAGTGAGCTAATGTTAGATTATTATTAATGCCAAGCTCGTTGCTTTTCTTTTTCCTGTATGCCTGCACTAACTCTCTTCTAGGTTATTTTCTGAGGAATTAGGACAATGGAAAAAGGCTCACAGATTATGCAGATAGTAGAGAGAGGACAAGGAAAGAATCACTACTCACTTTGCAGTCATGCCAGTCTTACTGGATAAATATTTCTGTGCACATGTTTAATAAGATATTCATTTAATAATATCATATTAAGTACATATACATGTGCAAACACATTGAATATAAAATTGGGGTGAAAAGTTGAATGAAATAAATCATTTGGACCAAGAGGATATTTGAGTATTTAACTTGAAAAAAATGAAGGTCACCTTTCTCCAAAAAACCTGAAGCATAATTCATATAACATAAAATTTACCATTTTCAATTATACAACTTCTTGCTTTATAATATATTACAAGGTTCTACTATGTAATTCCTGGTCATTTTCATTACACATTACATAGACACTGTCTCCTCCTCCTAGCACATGGCAAATGCTAAACCTACTTTTTGTCTCTGTGGATTGTGTATTTTGAATATCATATAAATGAAGTCACATTATTGTCCTTCCATGTCTAGCTACCTCACTTAAGTATAATATTTTAAAGACTGATTACACATTATAGCGTACATTATATATTTTATTCCTATGAATAATGCCTTGTTGTACAGACATCAAGCTCTGTATATCAACTTTGTTTATAAGTTGATGGACATTTGATTTTTTTATTGTCTGTTATTATGAACATGCCACCAGGAACATATATGTACCAGGTTGTGTGTGAACATGTGCTTTCACCTCTTATCATATATATTTAGGGGTCTATGTTTAGGAAGAATTGTTATATTATAGGACAATACTATGTTTCATATTTTTAAGAACCAATAAATCACTTTATATAAATGGTGCACTATTTAGACTCTCAACAACAGTGTATGGAATCCTAGTTGTTTACATCTTCCATGACAGTTGATTATTCATATTTAAGAAAAACATATAGCCACCTACTGCATATAATGAAATGTTTTCTTATAATTTGAATTTGGATTCTGACTGAGCACACATTCACGTGCTTGTCGGTCACTTGTCCTTTTTCAGAAGTGTCTGCTTAAAGGCTCAGCTTATTTTATGTTGTACTTTTTAAGATTTGAGTTGTAAGAATTCTAATTATATTCTAGGTACAAATATTTTTTAGTTATATAATTTGAAAATTTTAGTTGGTTGGTGGTGGTGCACGCCTTTAATCCCAGTACTTTGGAGGCAGAGGCAGGTGGATCTCTGTGAGTTGGGGGCCAGCCTGGTCTACAGAGTGAGTTTCAGGACAGTCATAGCTACACAGAGAAACCATGTCTCAAAAAACAAACAAACAAACAAACAAACAAAAACCCCAAAACAAAAATGCTGTGAGCTTATTTTTTTATTTTATTAAACTTTCTTTTTATTTATTCTTTGTGTCTTTCAATTCATGCATGTCAATCCCTTTAGTTTCCCATCTCTTCATATCTGGCCTCTGCCTTTGCAACCTTAGCCTCAAAATATAAAATTTAAGAGAAAGAAGAAAAAAGGAGAAAAGGAAAAATCTTGTTATGGAAGTTGCAATGTGACACAGTGAGTCACACAGTAAACCCTTTTATCTATGTATCTTTATTTGTAAGTGTTCATCACAAAGAGTCATTGGTCTGATTCTACACTTCTTGTTTCTGCTACACGATTGATGCTGGACTCTCACTGGCACTCCTCTTAGATATCCTGTGGTTGCCCTGTGTCATGGCAATCCCGCAGACCAACCCCTTCATGTGCTGGGATGCATGCTGGGCTGGGCCCAACTCATAACCCTTATTCTGGGCCTGGGTAG